AATCCCCTCGGATACCACCTGTCGGTGGCATGTCGGACACGAACCGACTAAAACCGCACGCCGTCCCGGGTACTAATAGCCGGGGAATCAGGTATACCTTTTTCCCCTGTAAGTTTTTGAGGAGTTTGCACGTCCACGTGTACTTCCACGTTCGGGCCGCGAGCCTCGGTTTCGAAATGAACTTCTAGTATTGAAGTGATCACATTGACTTGAAGAGTTACCTCTGGAAGAATAATGTGTATGTTGGCACTGACCATGGTACTCACCCCGCGAGGGTGGGTTATGACCGGTACGCACATGCGATCCTGGTCCGTTAGATTGAGTCCCACGCGATGGAACTGTCGGTTTTCGTGCGCCTTGCCCCCGCGAGGGGCGCTTACTAGGTTGGTAAGGCTTTTAAGATCTTTCAGTTTTAGGAGGCCAAAAAGCCTTACGGACCCCGCCAGCCCTCTCTAAAGTAGAGGTAAAGGGCTCAGCATTAAATATGTAAGTACTTGGAGGTATTTTGTTCAGGAATGCTTTCACTAGAGGATCTCTAACTTGACTCGTAATAGTTTCTCTACGCATTTCAATACTTTCAGCTCTATGGCCGCATGCTAATTGCAAAAGGTCTGAGGATATTTTATGAAATTCGCCCTTTTGAAATAATTCGTCAATCTTCCCATTTAAATTATCAAAATTGATACATTCTGAATTTTTTGCCCATGAAAGAAGATCACGAATACCTTCCTGCAATGATTGTCTCTGTTTTAATCACAGAACATATATACCCCTAAAGGGGGTTTTAATATGCAGTAGGTTAAGGCTGCGTACGATTTGTCAGCATGTGCCAGATGACGTAAGGTGTCATATGCTTTTACCTCCTCATTTGTTTCCAGGTCTATAAAGCCAGGACTATGATTATATAATTTTTGCGTATCGGCGTATCTTACTTCTGACCAAGAAGTACTACCAAAACGCTGGATATCGACCAACTTCTTCAAAAAACTATCGGGGGTTTTTGGAACTAATGGTTCTTTAAGCTTAGTATCAATGTCAAAAGTGAAATCTAAACTTGTATTTTGATGTTCTTGATTTGAACAATCCTCGTCACTAATTTGATCATAAGGTTGACCACTAATTCCGGAACAAACAGAAGCGTTATCATAACAAGCCGTATCAATGTTACTTGTAGTATTAATTTGTTTGCGAAGCTCAGTGCACTCAGACCAGCCACAGCCTGGGGCTGGGTATTGGAGTTGTGATTATTACCCTCCATCACTGCAAACGAATTACGTTTGCAGTGATGGAGGGTAAAGCCCTTGTGCCCGAAAGTGAGTAAAAAACTAAAACCAACCAACCAAACCAGACCCATTAGAAGTCACTGTACTCGTACTCAATTGAGTACAGCCATATTTTTGAATTTCAATTCAACACTTGTAAAATTAAAGGGACCTGCTTTGTTATTTTTTTTAATTATAATACTGTTCAGGTATATTGAAAAGTATTACGCTGGTAGTGTGATTATTTTTGCCAAAAAGTGTCAGTTGAAGTAGTGTCACCGGAACACCGTGGAGGTAAGTAAATGATATGAGATTTTTTAAAGTTATTTCTGTTTATAAGTAATTTTTTTTATTTCATTGGTATAAAATAAATGTCAGAGTAAGTTATAATAAACAATACAATCAATGATTCATTACTAAAATAAAACTACAGTCATATAATGTAACTATACTCGATTGAGTACAGTGACCACATACATAAGTGAAATAACAGGGTTTTTATTTCAGAATGGAGAAAGAAACATATACATCTCAAACGAATCATATAATCAACACAATCGACATGACTTTCAATTGCATTCATCAGATTTTAAAAAAGTTTTTAGGAGTTTTGATACTATCTGGGTACCATAAGCCACATCGAGAACGTATGTGCTAGTCTCTAGATGAAGATATAGGCGTGGGATTGGTCAGAAGAGCCATGCCCGATAAACCGAGGATATAGCGCATGGCTGCATCACTAGTCGAAGGGCTGCCTGAAGATGGAGTTGGACATTACCCCGCCAAAATTGAAATGTATCTATGTATCCTTTGCCACTCAAGAGTGCGCTGGCAATGTAAAAAGTGCCTAAAAACACTTTGCATCGAAAAAGCCTGTTTCGAAATTTTTCTTACTTAGGCGGTCATTGTACTCAATTGAGTACACCCCTGAAATTTTATGAAAACTACATTTTTTCCATTTTTTCTTACGTTTTGTGTTTCTGTGTACTTATTTGAATGTAAAAATAAAGATGATTTAAAAAAAACATCGGTACTTTTCATTTGACCTTTAATGGGTTAAGGTGACATTCTATAGTACCATCCTTGGATAGCTTGTAGCTATAGTTTCAGCCCGATCGCCTTGCTAGTGTAGGTTTGAGAGCACGCTGAACAAGACGCCTCTGTGTTTTTCGTAAAAATGGAAAAGCAGGAAAATCGTGCTGTCATCAAATACTTTTATTTGAAGGGGTTAACGCCGAAGGAAATTAAAGAAGAGATGGACTCAACACTGGGGACATCCTCCCCGTCATATTCAACCGTTAAGCAGTGGGTTTCCGAGTTTAAAAAGGGTCGTGTGAGCACCTCTGATGAGCCTCGCTCAGGACGCCCCGTTGAGGTCACAACTCCAGATATAATCGAAAAAAATCAACAAATAGTGCTGGGAGACCGCAGATTGAAAGTGCGTGAGATAGCTGAGACCTGTAAGATGTCATATGAACGTGTGCAACATATTTTGCACCAACATTTGCATATGGAAAAGCTCTGTGCAATGGGTGCCGCGTTTGCTAACAGTCGACCAAAAATTGATTCGAAAAAACATTTCTACCGCAAATTTGTCATTGTATAAGCGTTATCCAAGTGAATTTTTGCGTCGATTCGTAACCGTTGACGAAACTTGGGTCCACCACTGCACTCCTGAAACCAAAGAACAGTCTAAACAGTGGATTGGTCCAGGGGAACCAACTCCAAAGAAGGCAAAAATATTTTTTTCGGCGAACAAGGTTATGGCTACTGTTTTTTGGGATGCAAGAGGTATTATATACATTGATTACCTTGAAAAGGGTAAAACTATCACTGGTCAATACTACGCAGACTTATTGCAACGTTTGAGCCACGAGGTGAAAATTAAACGACCTCATCTGGCGAAGAAAAAAATCTTGTTTCATCACGATAACGCACCAGCACACACGTCAATCGTTGCGACGGCTAAAATCAACGATCTAAAGTTTGAATTGATGCCGCACCCTCCTTACTCTCCAGACCTAGCCCCGAGTGACTATTTTCTGTTCCCTAACCTCAAAAAATGGCTTGGAGGAAAGAGATTTGCGGACAATGAAGAAGTAAATTGTTATTTTGAGAATCGAAGCTGTAAATGGTTATTTTGAGGAGCTTGACGAATCAGTCTGTCAGGCATTAACAGACTGGAACACCGCTATGAGAAATGTATCAGCCTTGGAGGAGATTATGTTGAGAAATAAAAAAAAAAATTTAGTTTTTCTTAGTCAGGCTGGAAACTTATCAATCCACCCTCGTATATATCACAAAACATTTTATACAAAAATATTGATTGCATGTAAATCTTACAATTAAACAATAATTTTAAAATAATACTTTAATTTTTATATTTTATTGGTCAAAATTAAAATGTGTAATATTTTAAAGATTAAAAATAATCTGTGTCATATCATACGACGTCATCTCTTATTGGAACCATAATACTTATGCACAGTGAAAAAAAAGGCATTCACAACAATTTAATTATTTATCATTAACTAATGCTACAGTTTTGTTTTTACACCCACCTGTATATTTGTCAGCAATTCACATTCACCCATGATTGCGTCAGTAAGTTTTATGGTTCCCCACCAGTGGGCATTGTGATGTAAATAACATTGTGTGGCGTGGCGTGTCTTGCAGGCGTGCATTAACGAGGACTGGCCCGACGGGGCTTATGACGATACCCACACCAAGGTGAATGACATTTTACACTTACATATACACTTTAAAAGAAACTACAGTTTATGCTATTAATAAAATAATATAATATAGAAAACAATTTATCTGCACGGATGGCGTAGTTGTTTCACGCGCTGAGTGTTGTGGGTTCGATCCCTCACTTGGAACCACACTTTGTGTCGACACAGGATATATTTCTGATGCGCGAGTTATCTTATATATACAAAAAAAGACGTATTAGATATAGAATATAATAAATTTAAAAATTGTTAAGAAAGACAGGTTTTATTTGCATTTTTATTGTAAATAGCCGTAACCTGCCACGTTTCACTGTGGCACATTGATATGAAATGAGGAACAAACTGACTACGAAAAATATATAAAAACAATCCTTGAAGTGGGTTATATATCGTGTCAAATTTGAGCTCAATCGGTGCAGAACTTTTTGAGTTTTCCAAGCTAAAAGCTGAAATTTCTTTTAAATTAAATGTAAAGTTCATTTTTTTATTAATTTAATAAGCTAAACCACGCTAGCTGGCTTGAATTGCTCACTTCATGTTATTGTCACTAAACTGTTTACACTCATTTAAGTAATATAACTCTTGTAAGGTCCTATAAGAACGAGATTAAGTTTTTATATATTCTTTTTGACCGAATCCTTTTTATAAAATCACAATATCGTTATCGGCAATAATATACCAGTACAAATTGTTTGACAATATAATATCTGCATAAAATCTTGGTGGATAACCTTTAGGATTAATCTACCAAGATTTTAAACTATTTTTAAGAATTGTACTTAAAAAAAAAGTAATATAAGAATAAACTTATTCATTAAACTTTAGAAAATTTACCATTCTGACTACTCCCGGTGCTTGGGACGGAATATACTTTTTAAAATCTCTACAGGAGCTTACAAATTCTAATAAACAAAATATCGAAAAAAAACACTAATCTTCGTTCAATAACACAACCTTAATGCAACAATAGGAGGTACTCCGCTTCTAAAGAGAACTTCTCCAGCTGGAACAAGAAGAACTTCACCGACGAAGAGAGAATCTCATTCGAGATCAAAACAGGATCATTCAGAAATCAGTTCAAGACATATCTACTATACCTTCTACCCCTGAGAAACCTCCCTTACACGCCAGACCAAAAATCACAAATCAGAACTACAGACACTCTATGCCAAACTTATTACTAAACGAGAACTACGTTTCCATTCCTCCCGCTGTTTCTGAGAGGCAGATGGAGGGAGAAAGAGTAGTAGATGAGAAGAGAAAGCCTTTCGTTTCTGAGGAGCACACACACACAGCACAGCCTTTGAGAGTACCCCAGCCGGTATTGCCTCCGAAACCGAAGAGTCGGGAGTCGACTGAGAGGGAGATCACTATGAGATTAGTGTTTAATTATTTTATTTGTTCAGTCTAAAAAAATTAATACAACTTTATTACTCATAATCTAAAAGAAACACGGGTTAAATATCGATCATAGCAATAATGGCAATAGGTACGATTTGTTGCGAGTCAGGATTAGAAAATACTCGTAAATTTTATATTTACCTATATACAGACTCCTTTTTGTGTCTTGGGGTTTTTTTTTTCAAAATTTTTTCCCCTGAGGATTCTCTGCTGTTTTTTTACGATTTTCTTTCCCTTTGGCCCTCTAATTGGGTTGAGGATATTTTATGAAATTCGCCCTTTTGAAATAATTCGTCAATCTTCCCATTTAAATTATCAAAATTGATACATTCTGAATTTTTTGCCCATGAAAGAAGATCACGAATACCTTCCTGCAATGATTGTCTCTGTTTTAATCACAGAACATATATACCCCTAAAGGGGGTTTTAATATGCAGTAGGTTAAGGCTGCGTACGATTTGTCAGCATGTGCCAGATGACGTAAGGTGTCATATGCTTTTACCTCCTCATTTGTTTCCCGGTCTATAAAGCCAGGACTATGATTATATAATTTTTGCGTATCGGCGTATCTTACTTCTGACCAAGAAGTACTACCAAAACGCTGGATATCGACCAACTTCTTCAAAATACTATCCGGGGTTTTTGGAACTAATGGTTCTTTAAGCTTAGTATCAATGTCAAAAGTGAAATCTAAACTTGTATTTTGATGTTCTTGATTTGAACAATCCTCGTCACTAATTTGATCATAAGGTTGACCACTAATTCCGGAACAAACAGAAGCGTTATCATAACAAGCCGTATCAATGTTACTTGTAGTATTAATTTGTTTGCGAAGCTCAGTGCACTCAGACCAGCCACAGCCTGGGGCTGGGTATTGGAGTTGTGATTATTACCCTCCATTACTGCAAACGAATTACGTTTGCAGTGTATTTATAACACTTTACACAGCACAGTTATAATTTAAATATTGATTCTGAAAATTTACTGGTAAATATTCAAAAGTAAAAGAGGGTACTTACGGTACAAGACGTATCCGCTTTGAAGAACACTTTACACAAACTTTTACTTAATTTAAAATAAGTATTCACTTAATATTCACTATTATGCAACTGTCGCGGATGCACCACTACTGCGCACAAGTTGCTTCGACGGAGAACAAAAAGCCAATGAACAAAAATGGCGTGATACTTTTTACGAAAACTAAAAGCTACTCGCAACCACCAGGTGGCGCCACTGAGCCGGAAGTATAAAGGGGATAAAAGTACGAAAACTGGTAAGAAATCGGCGGGAAACGGAAATGCCATCTCATAATAAAGCTTCCAGTGACGGTCAAGTGTTTTAATAGTGTAATAAATAACGCCGGCATTACAAGCGTTTTTCCATTAAATAAGGCTATTTTTTACATTAAATTTGAGAAAAATAAACTGAATAATTAATCCTCTGTTCTTATCCGCTTCAGTTTTTGGTAGTCACTTATATAATGATCATTTTAGATTTAATACCAGCATTTTAGGTAGTTCAAAATCGAATTGTTTAACTCGTTAATTAAAAGTTTCGTGAATTCTATTCATATTTATAAAAGATGTACCTATAGTTTATTTACGTGTGTACACGAACTGGCTTTACCCTAAAAGATAAACGGGGGTCCCCCTTTATCTTTCAGGGTAAAGCCCTTGTGCCCGAAAGTGAGTAAAAAACTAAAACCAACCAACCAAACCAGACCCATTAGAAGTCACTGTACTCAATTGAGTACAGCCATATTTTTTAATTTCAATTCAACACTTGTAAAATTAAAGGGACCTGCTTTGTTATTTTTTTTAATTATAATACTGTTCAGGTATATTGAAAAGTATTACGCTGGTAGTGTGATTATTTTTGCCAAAAAGTGTCAGTTGAAGTAGTGTCACCAAAACACCGTGGAGGTAAGTAAATGATATGAGATTTTTTAAAGTTATTTCTGTTTATAAGTTATTTTTTTTATTTCATTGGTATAAAATAAATGTCAGAGTAAGTTATAATAAACAATACAATCAATGATTCATTACTAAAATAAAACTACAGTCATATAATGTAACTATACTCGATTGAGTACAGTGACCACATACATAAGTGAAATAACAGGGTTTTTATTTCAGAATGGAGAAAGAAACATATACATCTCAAACGAGCTACAAAGGACTTCAAGAAGCTATTGAAGTCATTTTACAGTAGAGCGATGATAATGAATATGACTTGGCTGTCATACCTCCTGATCCAAGTGCATTGACTGATGAAGAGGAAGGTGCTGACGAGGATATGGCGGCGTGTTTGATACCGCAAGATGTACCTGGTACTATTGAAGTATTTATGAATCGAGAGGGTAGTGGTGACGAAGATAGTGTGTACGACAGACACAGAACAAGATCTATCTACTCCGAACCCAAAATTTCGGTAATATATCCCTTCATACTCAGCAACTTCTCAGAGTACTTCTGAAGTCAGTAATAGGAAAAATGCTATTTGTGATGCACTGAAGGGCCTCAACCCTGTACAAATATTGAAAAATTGCTTGATGCTAATACTGTTGATATGATTATATCTAATAGCATACTTTACGCTAATCAACACAATCGACATGACTTTCAATTGCATTCAACAGATTTTAAAAAAGTTTTTAGGAGTTTTGATACTATCTGGGTACCATAAGCCACATCGAGAACGTATGTGCTAGTCTCTAGATGAAGATATAGGCGTGGAATTGGTCACAAGAGCCATGCCCGATAAACCGAGGATATAGCGCATGGCTGCATCACTAGTCGAAGGGCTGCCTGAAGATGGAGTTGGACATTACCCCGCCAAAATTGAAATGTATCTATGTATCCTTTGCCACTCAAGAGTGCGCTGGCAATGTAAAAAGTGCCTAAAAACACTTTGCATCGAAAAAGCCTGTTTCGAAATTTTTCTTACTTAGGCGGTCATTGTACTCAATTGAGTACGACCCTGAAATTTTATGAAAACCACATTTTTTCCATTTTTTTCTTACGTTTTGTGTTTCTGTGTACTTATTTGAATGTAAAAATAAAGATGATTTAAAAAAAAACATCGGTACTTTTCATTTGACCTTTAATGGGTTAAGGTGACATTCTATAGTACCATCCTTGGATAGCTTGTAGCTATAGTTTCAGCCCGATCGCCTTGCTAGTGTAGGTTTGAGAGCACGCTGAACAAGACGCCTCTGTGTTTTTCGTAAAAATGGAAAAGCAGGAAAATCGTGCTGTCATCAAATACTTTTATTTGAAGGGGTTAACGCCGAAGGAAATTAAAGAAGAGATGGACTCAACACTGGGGACTTCCTCCCCGTCATATTCAACCGTTAAGCAGTGGGTTTCCGAGTTTAAAAAGGGTCGTGTGAGCACCTCTGATGAGCCTCGCTCAGGACGCCCCGTTGAGGTCACAACTCCAGATATAATCGAAAAAAATCATCAAATAGTGCTGGGAGACCGCAGATTGAAAGTGCGTGAGATCGCTGAGACCTGTAAGATGTCATATGAACGTGTGCAACATATTTTGCACCAACATTTGCATATGGAAAAGCTCTGTGCCAGATGGGTGCCGCGTTTGCTAACAGTCGACCAAAAATTGATTCGAAAAAACATTTCTACCGCAAATTTGTCATTGTATAAGCGTTATCCAAGTGAATTTTTGCGTCGATTCGTAACCGTTGATGAAACTTGGGTCCACCACTACACTCCTGAAACCAAAGAACAGTCTAAACAGTGGATTGGTCCAGGGGAACCAACTCCAAAGAAGGCAAAAATATTTTTTTCGGCGAACAAGGTTATGGCTACTGTTTTTTGGGATGCAAGAGGTATTATATACATTGATTACCTTGAAAAGGGTAAAACTATCACTGGTCAATACTACGCAGACTTATTGCAACGTTTGAGCCACGAGGTGAAAATTAAACGACCTCATCTGGCGAAGAAAATAATCTTGTTTCATCACGATAACGCACCAGCACACACGTCAATCGTTGTGACGGCTAAAATCAACGATCTAAAGTTTGAATTGATGCCGCACCCTCCTTACTCTCCAGACCTAGCCCCGAGTGACTATTTTCTGTTCCCTAACCTCAAAAAATGGCTTGGCGGTAAGATTTGCGGACAATGAAGAAGTAAATTGTTATTTTGAGAATCGAAGCTGTAAATGGTTATTTTGAGGAGCTTGACGAATCAGTCTGTCAGGCATTAATAGACTGGAACACCGCTATGAGAAATGTATCAGCCTTGGAGGAGATTATGTTGAGAAATAAAAATAATAATTTAATGACCTTGTTTTTCTTAGTCAGGCCGGAAACTTATCAATCCACCCTCGTATATATCACAAAACATTTTATACAAAAATATTGATTGCATGTAAATCTTACAATTAAACAATAATTTTAAAATAATACTTTAATTTTTATATTTTATTGGTCAAAATTAAAATGTGTAATATTTTAAAGATTAAAAATAATCTGTGTCATATCATACGACGTCATCTCTTATTGGAACCATAATACTTATGCACAGTGAAAAAAAAGGCATTCACAACAATTTAATTATTTATCATTAACTAATGCTACAGTTTTGGTTTTACACCCACCTGTATATTTGTCAGTATGGTTCCCCACCAGTGGGCATTGTGATGTAAATAACATTGTGTGGCGTGGCGTGTCTTGCAGGCGTGCATTAACGAGGACTGGCCCGACGGGGCTTATGACGATACCCACACCAAGGTGAATGACATTTTACACTTACATATACACTTTAAAAGAAACTACAGTTTATGCTATTAATAAAATAATATAATATAGAAAACAATTTATCTGCACGGATGGCGTAGTTGTTTCACGCGCTGAGTGTTGTGGGTTCGATCCCTCACTTGGAACCACACTTTGTGTCGACACAGGATATATTTCTGATGCGCGAGTTATCTTATATATACAAAAAAAGACGTATTAGATATAGAATATAATAAATTTAAAAATTGTTAAGAAAGACAGGTTTTATTTGCATTTTTATTGTAAATAGCCGTAACCTGCCACGTTTCACTGTGGCACATTGATATGAAATGAGGAACAAACTGACTACGAAAAATACATAAAAACAATCCTTGAAGTGGGTTATATATCGTGTCAAATTTGAGCTCAATCGGTGCAGAACTTTTTGAGTTTTCCAAGCTAAAAGCTGAAATTTCTTTTAAATTAAATGTAAAGTTCATTTTTTTATTAATTTAATAAGCTAAACCACGCTAGCTGGCTTAAATTGCTCACTTCATGTTATTGTCACTAAACTGTTTACACTCATTTAAGTAATATAACTCTTGTAAGGTCCTATAAGAACGAGATTAAGTTTTTATATATTCTTTTTGACCGAATCCTTTTTATAAAATCACAATATCGTTATCGGCAATAATATACCAGTACAAATTGTTTGACAATATAATATCTGCATAAAATCTTGGTGGATAACCTTTAGGATTAATCTACCAAGATTTTAAACTATTTTTAAGAATTGTACTTAAAAAAAAAGTAATATAAGAATAAACTTATTCATTAAACTTTAGAAAATTTACCATTCTGACTACTCCCGGTGCTTGGGACGGAATATACTTTTTAAAATCTCTACAGGAGCTTACAAATTCTAATAAACAAAATATCGAAAAAAAACACTAATCTTCGTTCAATAACACAACCTTAATGCAACAATAGGAGGTACTCCGCTTCGAAAGAGAACTTCTCCAGCTGGAACAAGAAGAACTTCACCGACGAAGAGAGAATCTCATTCGAGATCAAAACAGGATCATTCAGAAATCAGTTCGAGACATATCTACTATACCTTCTACCCCTGAGAAACCTCCCTTACACGCCAGACCAAAAATCACAAATCAGAACTACAGACACTCTATGCCAAACTTATTACTAAACGAGAACTACGTTTCCATTCCTCCCGCTGTTTCTGAGAGGCAGATAGAGGGAGAAGGAGTAGTAGATGAGAAGAGAAAGCCTTTCGTTTCTGAGGAGCATATGCAGAGGCATTTCGGTGTGGAGGAGAGCAGGAGGCTTCTGTATGAAGGCAAGGATTTTAGGAGACAGCCTTTGAGAGTACCCCAGCCGGTATTGCCTCCGAAACCGAAGAGTCGGGAGTCGACTGAGAGGGAGATCACTATGAGGTTAGTGTTTAATTATTTTATTTGTTCAGTCTAAAAAAATTAAAACAACTTTATTACTCATAATCTAATAGAAACACGGGTTAAATATCGATCATAGGCAGGATATCGGCAGGACTTACAAGAGCCACCTTGACCAAATATATGTACTTCAACTTAAAATTTTAAAAGAGATTGTACCACAAAACATAAAAAATAAATTTAAGCACGATTACGAACAACTATTTGATTTCTGCAAAATTATTCCTATACATCAGAAGGTAAAACTAACGTTACTAACCGAGGAGTACTTTAACGTAGATCTTCAAAAATACAAAGCCCGTGATACACATGGTATGAAGACCCGTAGCGTCAATAATGCAAAATTATTACTACCACGATTTACAAATCTGTACGGGAAAAGAACTCTAAAATGCATGGTACCACTCTTAGTAAATGAGCTTCCGAAATCAATAAAGACTTCATTAACAAAAGTAAACATAAAAATAAAATTGAAACAACACTTTTTACAAAATTAAATCGACCATTTGTCATACCCTGGAACAACCTGTATAGTGTAGTAAAATATTACAAATGTATCCACGATATAATGTTGTTGAATTCATCACTGATGCGCGGTCGATGTGACCATTGCGCACTGCGTACACATTTTTGTATACTACCCTCACTTAATTATTGTGATGCTTTATGTATTGGTGCTTTTATTCTAAGTGTATTTGCATTTTGTGATATTTTGTAACAATGTAAGTAACATATGACGAAATTGATGTACGGTAAAACTCGAAGGAGTTTATGTTGCATCTCTATGTACATGATTTGTATTTGTATCAGCTATTCAAATAAATAAATAAAAATAAAAATAAAAATAGCAATAATGGCAATAGGTACGATTTGTTGCGAGTCAGGATTAGAAAATACTCGTAAATTTTATATTTACCTATATACAGAAATGACAGTGGACAATGATCACGAAATAACAATTTTTACTGATATTCGCTAAAACTTAATTCTGGGTTATACGAAAGTTTTTTTAAAATACTGGATTAGTTCCGCTATTAGATAACAGATGGCGACACACTTCTCAAATGGTGGCGACCGCAGAAGCTGACAATAAAACTCCATACAGCAATGAGCAATCTTCTGCATTTTTTAAATTTACTTATTTTATTTTTATTTAAATGTTGTTCGATGTAGATGTAAAGGGGAATGCCCATTTTCGGCCATGAAACGCCCAACAATTTGCTTTTGTTAGAAAAAAACCATCTTATTTTCTGTTTATTAATTGGGGTATTCATTTATCCTGACAGGTCTGCAACATTTAAACAGAAAATAAAAGTACCGAAAAGATAAAAGTGAAATTACGTTAATCCGTATTTCATTGGTTTCTGGCAAAATATTAAGTATTGGTATTGGTATTGGTTGTGGGCTTCGGTTTCCGCATTTAGACTCAGAGTGGTCCTTTATGCGTCGAGCATTGGTTGACTAGGTGAGCCAACCAAGCTCCTTCCAGAAGCGCAGAAGCCTCCTGGGGCGTTCACAGGCTTCTAGGAGCGACTTTATATCAGGAATGATACTTGCCCGTTGTGTGGCCACTCCCTCGCATTCCAGGACTACGTGGGCGGCCGTTTCTTCAGCTTCCAGACATCCCCTGCACAGGGGACTGTCCGTCGCATTGATTATGAATAGTTGTCGGTTCAGGGCTAGATGTCCTGTAATAGTTCCGACAACCATTCTGAGTTCCGGTCTGCTAAGACTGATCAGTCTGCAGGTGAGTCGTGGTGTGACTTGATTCAGCACCAGTTTGGACTGTCTGCAGCCGGGTGAGTTTTTCCACCTCCGGTTGTGTGCTTCACAGGTCCGTTGCCTGACCCAGCATCGTATTTGGTTAAACGATATGGGCAGGAGTGGAGTTGGGCCAGAGGTTGGGGTTGCCGAGCCCCTCCTTGCCAACTCATCTGCGGCATCGTTCCCGTGTGAGTTACTGTGCCCTTTAATCCATTGGAGGAGTACCCCATTGAATATAGCGAGCTGTTCCAGTGCTTGGTGGCATTCGAAGACAATACCAGAGGTCATTGTGTTGCCCTCCAGTGCCTTTAAGACGGCCATGCTGTCGGATATTATTCGGATGTTGTAGTCCTTGATACCCCTTGACATGGCCGTTGTGGCAGCGTAAGTTATTGCCACACATTCACATTGAAATATGGAACTGTGTTGGCCTAACGCTAGTGATATGTTTATATTTAGGTCTTGCGAGAAAACTCCGGCTCCAGTTCCTGACCTAGTCTTGGAACCGTCCGTGTAAATTCGAACTTCGTTAATGCCGGATTGATCTCGGTCATTTCCATGTATCTGGATGTAGTATCTTCTTGTGAAGATATGGTGTTTTGGGATTCTATCGCATGGAGCTGCTATCAGTGGTTCGTATTCCACCAATTGATCCCATAATTTGAAGTGCGATCCCTCACTTTTGTGCCATAGACCCAGGTGTTTGAGTTTAATGATCGCCATGGCGGCCTCCTGCTGTATGAATAGATCCAGGGGTGGCAGACCAAGAGCCACCTCCAGTGCGGCAGTAGGCGTTGTGCGCATACAGCCAGTGACCGCGGAGCATGGGAGTCGCTGGAATTGCTGCAGTTTGTTTATGACGGTGCTAAGCTCTGTTCTCTGCCACCAGACTACAGCACCGTAAGTGATTATTGGTCTTATGACTGTCCTGTATAGCCATAAAGTGATTTTGGGTGATAGTCCCCAGCTTTTGCCGAGTAGCCGCTTGCATTGGCAGAAAATAATGCAGGCTTTATTCAGTTTTTCATCGAGGTGCTTATTCCACAGGAGTTTACTGTCCAGTATTATTCCTAGGTATTTGACCTCTTTGGTAAGAGTAAGTTGTGTTCCAAATAGCTTGGGAAGTCTGAGCTTTCCTAGGCTGCGTTTGTTTGTGAACATGATCATCTCTGTTTTGGATGGGTTCACTGTCAGGTTGTGTGCTACGCACCATTGTTCCACGATCTTCAGTGCAAGTCTCATTTGATCGCATGTAATGCTCTCAAAAGGACCGCTGATGAGAATAGTAAGATCGTCTGCATAGCCTATTGTGAGGAATCTTTGGTCATTAAGTTGTGCGATGAGCTCATCCACAACAATGTTCCATAGAAGGGGGGAGAGTACACCGCCCTGGGGGCAACCTCTAGCCACCACTCCTCTAGTCACTTCACTCACAGTGAATTGAATAGCTCTATATCTTAGCATGCTGTCGATCCACCCTGAGATTGTGGAATCAACACCATGCCTAGACAGAGCTTGGCTAATGCTGGTGAAGTTGGTCTTGTCAAAGGCTCCCTCGATATCGATAAAGGTAGCCAGTGTTGACCTTTTGTGATTTAGATTGTCTTCTATATGTGAAACAACTCGATGTAGGGCAGATTCTGTTGATTTACCCATCGAGTATGCGTGTTGATTGAGGTGTAGAGGGTGACTGACTAACGCAGTTTCCCTGATTTCCCTATCTATTAGCCTCTCGAGAACCTTTAGTAGAAAAGATGTGAGACTAATAGGTCGGTGTGAATTGGGTTGTGTGTAGTCACCTTTACCAGGTTTGGGGATGAAGACTACTTTAACTTCTCTCCATTTCAAGGGGATGTACTGATGCGCCAGGCAGCCCCTATAAATTTTTACAAGATGGTCCAGTAGTGTCATATCACACCATCTCAGTAGGCCTGGGAAGACACCATCTAGTCCTGGCGCCTTGAATGGTAGGAAGCTGTTAATTGCCCATCTTAGTTTGTCATGGTTGACAACTTTGCGGGCCGTATCCCAGTCTGTATCATCTGGTGGTTTTTCCCATCTGTCTTCCCATTTTTCCATCACATCTGAAATGCGACATCCAGGGAAGTGTGTTTTTAATAACAGCTCTGAGGCTTCCGAGTCTGTTTTGGTATACTCACCATCAGGCTTCTTCAGTGAGCCAAGATTGTGATCGCCTCTACTACACAGTATGCTTTTGACTCTATTAGCCTGGTTGTTGTTTTCTATGTTAGTACAGAAGTTTCTCCAGCACTCAGTTTTCCTGGTTCTGATTATTTTCTTATATTGTTGTCGGGCTTGCGTGTAGGCATCACAATGTTGGTCTAATCGCGAGTTTTTTGCTTTATTGAACAACTTTCTCACTTTACGACGTAGTCTTTCCAGTTCCGGACCCCACCATTGGTGTTTGTTCTGTGGTCCAGTTCTGGGTGTGGAAAGTGGGCATGTTTGTTCAAAGCAATCGATCAGTGTCTGTGTAAGGTTGACAACATGACTGTCAATGTCCTTAACAGTCCCCGTAGCGTATGTTGGGTTGATGCTTCGCAGATTCTCCGCAGTAAGATGTTCATACCGTTTCCGGTCCATCGTGCGGGGATTCCGTCGGGGATCGGGTAGTTTAAGTTTCATTTCAAAGTTAAATTTGATCCAGCGATGGTCTGAGCACGATGCTTCGTTCCAAACATGCCAGTTCGATATGTGTTGCGATGCGTGCTCACTTGCTAATGTAAAATCAATTATAGTTTGGGCCCTGGATGTGACAAATGTCGGCTCCGAGCCCACGTTGATAATGTTAAGGTTAGTTGATAATAGGAACGATACAAATTCCTCACCTCTCCGGTTGTTGCTCCTGCTGCCCCACAGCGCATGGTGCGCGTTGGTGTCGGCAGAGATGATCAGCTCCAGACCCTCGCGCTCGCAGTGGTGTGCCAGCGCAGCCAGCTCCGGAGTGGGGATGTCAGCATCGCCCGGCAAGTAGGCTGATGCTATCACCACGTCAGGCAGGTTTGATGAGGGTTCCTTTAACCTAATAGAGGTAAGGTCTCTGGAACAGAACTTGGTCATTAAGGTAGTACACGCATGTTTTGGTGTATAAATACAAGTGCGCGGGTTATCAATGGTAGTGTTGAGAAGTATCTTACCTCCAATATTGTTTAGAACGCAGATCCTGCCCTTCCTAATCCACGGCTCCTGGATTAGGGCTACGGTGTTGGTTTTTACCTCCAGCTCTCTGCG